AAAAGTGGACCGCATAAGAATGATTCCAGCCTATGCATTCTTTCAATTCCTTTACTTTCATTTCCATACTAACAAGTCACCCCCTTCGAGAGGAGTTGCCTACAGTATCTTGCAGGTGGTTTTCCTCTTGCATGTTAGATGCAAAAAGGTAACAATTCTCAAATGGTCAAAGAGTATATCAAAAAAAGAAGGAAAAATAGGAAAAACTTAGTTTTGAAGGAATAAAGGGCTGCTCAGTGCACGAAGTACCCAGTTCTCATGCAAGCCTCGGGGAAGGGGTGTGATGTGGGCAGCCTACCCTCACACAAGCATCAATGGCTAATCCACTCAAACACTTAACCTATATGTCACACGGAGGCAATTTTACCATCGCTTTAAGGCTCCCCTTCTTAGTTTTGAAGGAATAACAAGGAAAAATAAAGACAACTACATGAGAAGGATTGTCTTTCTTAGCATATCTTCTATTATAATTAAACAACCCCTTAAATGAAAATAAATTTACACTACTAGCAGTACACATATATCATCAGTAGTGATTCTCCTGCAGTTCATCTCTTTCACTATTCTGCAATATCAATCGCTTTCTTCCTCTCTGTTTTTCTTTATTTTTTGTTCTTGTGAAAACCACTACCCCAGTTAGATATTACCAACACTTTACTAGGATTTCTTTAACTGGCACTGTACTTCCTTGTAAATATATTAACTGTTCCAATTTGACAAAAATCTACAATCAACCACTCCCTCCATCCCAATTTGCTTTTCGAAAACCAACTACTATGTTGATTTTCATTAAGCGGAGAATCATCAAAAAGGAAAGTACACATTACGCTATTGAATTTCGATTAAACTAAGGTGAACGTTGCATAGTGAAAAAGGTGAGGGGCGGAGAGTACTGACCGGTAATAGGGTTTCCATTGATAAACCAAAAAAATATATTTGAACTTGCTAATATAGATAACAGTCTCTTTACTATCTCCGGCAGCGAAACTGCGACTCCGGCAGTATAGTCATCAGAAGGAATGTTTTTGTGAGTAGGGTTACAGTTTCCGACTGTAATATGAAAGAAACTGGTTTTTCACCCTACAAAAGATCCGACTATAAAAGGAGCATCGCTGAAAACAATAAAATTATTTTTACGTCCGTTTAAAAATAAAGTAATATTTTATTTCGATAATCAAGCAATATTTCGGTTATGATGTTTAAAAATTTGATAACTTTTTATTGTTGAATTTTATGTATAGTAATTTTGCAGTTTATAGATGTATAAATAAAATTTATAAACCTGAGAAACTAACGCTGAATTTGGATGAAGGCTAAATGTTTTTGTATAAATATTTTGAATAAGATTATAGGATGAAACATTATATGAAAGTAGTACAAGTAAAAACATAATCATCAAAATTAATGACTACTGATATCTTTGGCACGATTTTTCAGAATTCTAAAATTGTTATAATGGGCGTAATCAACAAGGATTACGTGATCTCAATCTTAATATTATTTAGTTAATGCAGATATTAACTCTTCCGAGAATCTTTAACCATTATACAACTAATAATAATGACAATTACGGTAATATTGCCATTTAATTTCTACAAGGTCAAGAATCTAATTTTATTGTATTATCCTACTTCATTAAATAATAAAGTATCAGTTAAAGATTATGTTAATTTTTATTTAAATGACTAGGAAAATATTATTGACATGTTTAAATTTGTATATCATTGTCGTTCTTATATGTTAATATAAAATCAATACAATTAAATAAACAACAAATATATCGTCCTTAATTAGAACTATCATTTCAAATTTCTTATTTATTTGATAAAATATTGTATGCTATAACATGATTCAAGGTAATTTCAGCTCTAAATGTTCTACTTACTTAACTGTATTTAAAAACAATTTTGAGGTAATTTTATCGCTTTCTTTCAACTTGTGCGTCACCAAATACATATGAATTACTCCAAACGAAAGCGATTAGTATCCCTGAACTGGTATTGCTTGCAATGTGTATCTCAAGTGTTAATTTTGGTTTGTTATGTAATTTTCATCAAATTAAAATAAAACATCAGCAAATTTAAAATATATTAATGTATTATTCGTATGTTTTTTAGTACTTTCAGATAACGTGTTAGTAATAGTATTGTCTCAACCTCTCTTTTTCGTCGAGCAAGCCCTGTTATATCTAATGGTACATGCTGATACGATTATTCAAGCCACTCGAATGTGAATAAGTCTTATATTAAACCCATCTGAAATAACTAACAAAAGTTTAGCAAAGATAATATCTAAAGAAAATTATAAACTCATAAATGGAAGGCACGATCCTCGAAGGATTAAAACAAAGAACAAAGTCTTCGGAGCATCCACCTGGAATGATAAAATATTTAAAAGTAACTGAAATTATAATAGTCAACTACCGCTAGAAGAAATCAACGGAGTCTATCTACTAGTTCCACGAAAAGTTCGAAATTTAGCCACGAGCTTTGTTACCTATACACTCAATGCTTGTCATACGATGTGACAGGCCCAAACGGGTTAAGTACCTCAAAGAATACCAAGTAAGTCTTGTTTATCACCCCATAAGCAAATGACAAGATTTTTTTGGACTATACAGTTACAATAAAAACACAATAACCATAAACTTAAGTAATTAAATTAATTAAAACTTAAGTCTGAAAGCTAAACTGGTACATGAAATTTGAGTTAAGTTATGATAATTGAATATAGCTGAGTTTCTTTATTCTGAAAATTCTATCTAACAAGTAATGGTGCCTGCAAGTGTGAGGATGATTGGCCCAATCCCCGGTCGTGATGACTTTTAAATCCGGGGAGGTTGACCACTTCTCCCAAACACATAAATCTGGTGGCACCTGCAAGTGTGGGGATGGTTATCCCGTTCCCGGCCCTAGCAACTCTTACACTCGGAGAGGTTAAACCATATTTTTCCTTTCCTTTCTGAATCTAAACGTATTAGCACCTACAAGTTGGAGGTAGCTAAACACCTCTATCGTGGCACTTACACTCGGGAAAAGCTGGCTACTTTTCCCTTTTGAATTTGAATGAATGCAAGCAATAGCATAACAACAATCAAATCAAACAAAAGTTTCAAATACTTCTGATATTTTGAGCTAGCTGAGTTATTATGCAAGGCAATTTAGTTTTTGTAAGTTAACTGTATCATGAACTAGCATATATTTATAGCATTAAAATAATCAAGGATTTCAAAAAAATAGTCAAAGTATTTACACCTAAGAATCAATTAGGCACTTTCTCATCAGTAATATTTTATTAAGCATTTTCTTATTACACCCCGATTTAGGGAATTGTAAGCTTAACATACCTTAATTGACTATCAAGAACTCTACCAACGAATTCGTGTAGCCAAACCTTTTGAGAATCTACAACAAGGAGTTAGAACCATTAGCCCAACCATTAACTTTAACCCAAATTACCAAATTATGTTCTACTTGGCCATAACAACATAATTAGATTTTTTTCTATGAACTATGTCGTTTCCGGTCCTTCAAACACAATAATACACTGTAAAATTTATGATTTTGATGGTAGAGAGCAAATAAATTACCTTAGATATTGCTCTCAGAAACCCTAGGTCTTGGATTCTTACGAAACCCTTTGAATTCTTGCTGAAAATATAGGATTTTAAATTTTTTAGGTGTTGAACAACGTTAATCGAAAGTTCCTAACTTGAATTCACGGTAGGATTTTTACCTTGAGTGGATTAGAAAACCCCTAGGTCATACTTGCTTCGAAAAACCTCTCCAAAATGCTATAAAAATAAGTGGGCTTCTCTTTCCCCGGAGTGCCTTATAAAATATGATTTCGGTGTTGAAAAATTGACCTAGCACGTCGTGCGACACATTGCATGGCACCCCGTGCCAAGAGAGTTTTCAAAATTTTGCCCGTTTGACCCGAATTCGGCCTAGCACGTCGTGCCACATGTCCTTTGACACGTCGTGCCAAGGTATTTTTTGGGAATAAATTATTGTCGCTATCCTTCAGTAAAATAATCATAACCTCTTGTAGAAGTGTAGGAATCACAAACGATTTTTCTTTACGAAAATTAGACTCAAAGATCTTTCATTTGATATATAATTCATAGCTTAATTCATAACACATTAGGAGTGATTTATTGAAGTTAGGTCACGTGCGCTTATGTTCCCTTTCTTCTATTAAACATTTCTAATTTGTTCCAAACTACTTGTCCTCCCTTATAGATGCCCATATAACCTTCCAAACATAAGCTTTAGGTACTATAAAGTTTACAACTTTTGGATGCATGTCCAAGTTAGAGACTGGACGAAGACGTAATAGATAGCAAAAAAGTTTCTGGGGTATTATATTTAAATTATCTACATCAATACTTAATATCAAGTACTCCTTATTTTGCAGATTCCTTATATGAATTTGGTGTAAAAAGTTATTTGAAAATTGAGATTAGATCTGAAGTGACCTGATAATATAAGATGTATTTAATAATACTACAATAGTATTTCCTTTCATATGCGAGTCTGTTTAGGAACCTAAACAATTTGATTCATTCTTCCACGCTGTTTTCACCTCACATTATTTTATGTTTCCCCATGACTACTCTGGGATATAGCTTATTGCTCCCTCTTACCTATGGCACCGTTTCCCCCTTAAACTTCAAATGCCAAGCGCCAATAGACAATTTCGTCTTGAATAGACCCATTAAGTGTCGTAGGTATAACTGCAAGTAAATCCATTGTCAGCTCATGAAATCGAGTAACTTTGTTGCCGACAAGGTTGCAGTCGTTGGAAGATGCAAGAAAACTGTTTGATGAAATGCCTGGGAGAACTCTACCTTCGTATTCTTGCTCTAAGTCTGAGCAGTGGAATGAACTTTCTTTATTTTGCAGTTAATGATAGACGAGGAGGGCTTAATGCTAGATAATTATGTGGTCCCTACATTACTCAAGGCTTGCGCGGGGATGAGATTATTAAAATTCGGGCAAATGGTTCATGCATTTGTAGTGAGAAAGGGTATAATTAAAGATACTTTTGTCAGTAATGCGCTTATTCATATGTATGCAAATTGTGGAGAATTGGAATCATCAGAGCGTTTATTTAACTCAATGGAAGAAAAAGATGTGGTTTCTTGGACTGCTTTATTATCTGCTTATATGAATGCAGGGCTCGTGGAGGAAGCAGAACGTGTTTTTCACTCAATGAAATAATAGGGTAAAGCCCGATTTGATATGTTGGAATGCACTTGTATCTGGATATGATAAGAATGGAAAGGTTGATCTAACTATAAGGTGCTTAAATGAGATGCAAAAGAATGGAATGAAACCTAAAGTTACTTCTTGGAATGGTGTAATTTCAGGATGTGTGCAGAATGGTTATTTTGAAAATGGCCTGAATGTGTTTAATGAGATGTTGCGGTCTTATGACCAACCTAATGTTGTGACAATTGTTAGTATTTTACCAGCATGTGCAGGCTTGGGTGATCTGAAGATTGGGCAAGCAGTTCATGCGTATGCTATTAAAAATGAATTTTGTGGTAATATTCATGTCGAAGGATCACTTATTAATATGTATTCGAAATGTGGAAGAATTGATCTCGCAGAGTGTGTTTGTGAGGATAAAGGAGAAAAAGACTGCTGTGTTGAACGAGATGACCGCTGCTTATGTTGATGAACATAAAATGGATGCTGCACGTAGTATTCTTAAGTCAATGCAAGATTATGGCTTAAAACCTGATGAAGTTTCATTTAATACTCTTCTAGCTGGACACGCAAGAAATGGGGAAAAGAATGAGGCTTATGAGTTACTATCTGAAGTGGTCAATTGGGGTCTAAAGCCGAATCTTGTGTCTTTTAATGTACTCGTATCTGGTTTCCAACAATCTGGGCTTAGTTCTGAAGCTTTAAAATATTCCCAATCATTCAATCATCTTCCAGCAAATATATAGAGGAGAAAGTGCCAGTTCCTCCAGTAAAGCCAAATCCTGTAACATTAACTGGAGTTCTGGCAGCTTGTGCTGATCTTACCTTACTGACGCAAGGAAAAGAAATCCATGGTTTTGTTTTGAGGCCAATATCTTTATATCTAGCGCACCCTCCACTTCCAACCAAGAGGTTGTGAGTTCGAGTCACCCAAGAGCAAGGTGGGGAGTTCTTGGAGGGAGGGAGCCGAAGGTCTATCGGAAACAGCCTCTCTACCCTAGGGTAGGGGTAAGGTATGCGTACAAACTACCATCCCCAGACCCCATTAGTGGAATTATACTGGTTTGTTGTTGTTGCTTTAATCGACATGTATGCAAAATGACATGATATAGCTTTGGCAACAAAGGTTTTCTGCAATATGTATGGAGGATAGAAACACAGTTACATGGAACTTTGATAGATGGCTTCATTAAAAATGGGCAGCCAAAAGAGGCCATTAATCTCTTTAACAGAATGCTGAAGGAAGGTCCTCATCCAAACTCAATGACATATCTCATATTTCTACCAGCATGTGGTGATAGGGAGCTCTAAATTTTGGAAGAGAGATTCATGGTCATCTGATAAAAAGCCAACTTAAGGAACTCGTTACTGCCAAAACGTCCAGTTTGGTAGACATGTATGCTAAATGTGGTTGTACTAAGGAGGCACGATTGATACTAGATAAGATGACTTCTAGTGCTAATGTAATTGGCTTTGACACTTTTAGATTCAACTTCAAAGGATATTTCAACATTTCATGAATATTACCAAAAGTTACATTTATGTTTCAATCATTTACAATTCATAAATCATCATTCTGCCGAGAGTTGTCCATCAACTTCCCCTCTGGCCAGATTCTTGTTGACTGGTGAAGGGAGTACGTATATATAGGTATGGATGTATCTATATATATATCAATTACTTCTCAATCCAAATTAGATATATCCCACTATATATATCCTCTATATCTATTCCACTCTATTCAGTACTCAGGCACATGTTCAAATATGAAATATTTCTCTTTTCAGGCTACCTACGAGTTCTCTAAAACTAAAAGTTCTTTAATCTCACTTATGCCTATACAGAAATATCTTCAAACACATTTTAAGCAATATCTTTCTACGCAATCTCTGAAAACGTGATTCGCTTAGCCAAATGGTTTTTTCATATTAATGCAAAAGAGAGTTCACAAGCCTATGACCAACAGCAAACAAGCACATTTTCCTTCGACAACCGGATTGAATTTCTTAAGATTTAAAGGAAGTATTCCCCTCTTTCTCATCGTATACTATCGCTTGCCTAGACTGAAGAGGATTAAAATCCTCTATATGAATGGAGGTAGTATTCGCTCTTCAAAAGAATTGAATGTATCCCTGTCAAATTGAACTTAGCTATCATCAACTCCGGCAGTTGCTGCTGCGGATTTCTGTGTGACTGGAGAGGGTATCCTTCTGCCAGGTCCTGCTGAAACCTTAACCATTGCAGGCCTTAGCAGGCGGTCTCCAAGTAAAAACCCACGGCGGAATTCTTCTATTATTATTCCATCATTAAACTCCTGAGATTCCTCACGAGCAACAGCCTCATGTAGCTGTATCAAGAAAAGAAACCCATACNATGGAGTATAAGGGAGAGGAGGCATTGCATGAGGTAGATGTCACAGTCAAGGTTATTCTCAGAAGAGAAGACATAGTCAACTTTGCAGCCAAATCTGCAGTTAAACACATTGTATGTATACATCGCATTCGGTATAATCATCAAGCCATGTTTAATTAGCTCATCATCAAATATCGCAGGAAAAGTCAGACATGTTTAGTAACTAACAGAAACATCTTCTCTAGCTGAATATAAAGTACTGCTTCGTCTTACTCATATCTGTAATCAGAAGGAAAGGTTTCTCTTTACAAACATTAAAGAAAGAAAAAATAATACGAGAAGGAGAAAACTGATTGCAGTTAAAGCAAGAATCTGAATAATGTCAGATCCTTCTTGAGTCTAAGGATTGGTTCTTAACTGAAAATTTAAAGCAAAATCACTCACTAGTCTTTCTAATTGTTTCCCTCCCTCTCTATTTTCCCATCTCTTTCTTTTTTTAATTTTGTTTTCCTAGTCTAAGTCTACCTCGATGAAAAGAAAAGTCTTAGACATGTTCGACTTTGAAGAGGCTTAACTTAGCAAATACTAAAGAAGAACATGACGAAAATCAAGAAGGAAATTGTAGATGTCAAAGAATGGTAAACCACAATTGCTCGTTTCTCTCTTCAATGCTTCTAATAGAAAGATAGTTAATACTTTAGTAACAAACATTGCTGAACAAGTTGTCTTTTGATTTGACCAGCAGTTGAATACTTGAATTATAATATAAAGAAGCTTAACGAGCAAATTTTGCTGCTATCATTAGATAGGACTAGCTCCAGTTACTTCACAAAGCATAATCTAATAGTTTGTTGAATGCTATTAAGAAGTTTCTTGGTTAAGATCCAAACTGCCGTTAACACTCACAGTATTCTTTGAAAAGTTAATAGAGTTTTTTTATTTATTTTTTAAATGAAAAAAAGAAGCTATCGATGTTATGCTAATAAAAATTTCTCCTTTCTTCTTCAACCAACCTCTTTTCTTTCATTTTCCACTATAAAGGGTACAGGTGCACACTTTCATACTTGACAAAAGTTCACGTTCAATAAAAAGTTAGTTATCTCTATTTTCGACCTTACCATTTAAGTACAATAATTTTTAAGCTCCTGTCATAATCCCTGTGCACTTGAGATTGAATACATATGCTATACTAGACGTGTTAAGCTTGTAGTTTGTACAAGGAGAAAAAAGAACACTATTTTATAACTTAAAAGTATTTCTCAATACTTTGAACTACGTATCTTCATTTTGATTTCCAACGCTACGAAACCTCTTCTTTCTGTTAAAAGTTCTAAATTTGACAGCAATATTTACTTTGAATATAATCCATCTTATTTCCTTTTTGAAGGTCAGAAGCACTCAAAAGGTACATCTTTAAAATGTCACTACTCTAATGGTAACAAATATCAGCAATCCTCATACAAACTTTACCAAATATGTCATAATCCTTTAACATTCAAAACACAAGCTATCTATTCGGGGGTTATTCAAACGTGGCAAGTTAGCATTTTTCTACGTAATATGGAAAGAAGTGAAATAGCCAACTTTCAGATAATTTTATTTATAAGGACAACATTCTGATAATTTTCACCTAACAAAACCTTTTGTGTATAACAGTATTCTTCAATTTCTCATCAAGCAAAAAGAATTTCCCACATTAACTATAATGTACTTGTGTCAGTGATCACGAGGCAAAATTTGAATGCAATGACTAAGACCCTTTTCAGCAATTCAAAGATGGGGAATTCAACCCAAGTAGCATGGATATGGACAAATCCATGAATGTACGAACGCTTCAGTAAACGGTGGCACACAACACGAATATATGAATTTAGTTTATATGCATATACATATGAACATGTACGTACATGCATACAGACGTCTGCGTGCACACATGCATTGTGTGTCTGTGTATAATCAACATCTCACAATAAATTTAGAACCTTCATAGAAAACATATATAGGATAATTCCTTCCTTTTTTCCTGATACCGTGGTGTCTGGACAGCTTGCGCACCTCGAATTTCACAGCATACATGTTACCTCCCACCAATATAAGTACCATGTAACTTTTCTCACTAAGGCTTAGGCATATGGGTAAACCACCTAGTGTTTTTGTCTCTGTTGGGATTTGAACCTTGGCTACCAAGGTTTGCACCTACTTCATTGACCAGGTGAAAGGATACTCTATTAAATTCATAAGTTATAGCTTCAAAACTATATCAATCAACTACATTTCAATCCCAAATTAGTGAGGTAGCCTATATAAATCTTCTACATGCATTACTCTAAACATGCACATTTCATTCCAATACCAAATCATTTGCTTTTTAAAGCATATTAGGGGTAAATCTCACCTTCATCTTACACGGTTAACTAGTTTAGTCCCAATTAGTTGGCACCACTTTTTTTGAGAATGAAATTAGTTGGTACCACTTATATGGATTCTTTGTTTCTGTAGTGTTTTGATTTTTAGTTAATAAACATTAACACAACTTCATCATATGATTTTATCATGTACTCTTTGGTATCTTTAATCATCATATTGTCACACCTATGACCTAGTACATCCGGAGGTCTACGTAAGGATTGGTGCATCTGGAGGTGTACATACAACATGGCAATCTTCATAAACTATGATTCAAATAATTCAGCGTCTCAATAAAGATTAGAACAACTACTGCTACCTCTAAATCCAGACAAGTTATGGTCCGCTATATGAATCCTCACTGACCATGTTTCACAATAAAAATTAGAAAAAGTATCTGAATAGTTCAAGTTTCTTAAGCAAATGTAAAACATGTACCAACGTTTTAAATTGGAGAGAAATCTTAATGTTGCCTTTTGAATTGGAACCTAGTTTGTTGATTAGGTCGAAACGGAATAAGATATAGAAAGAGTGCCACTATAAGGACCTATGGATTTTAATTTCAAGGATGTAAGGGCAGCCATAAATTATATATCCATTTTCCAATTAATATTTATTTATTCAATGCTTTAAAAGATTCTTTTATAGTTCTGATGGAGCCAGTTATTCTAGCAAGACTGAGTTTTGAACAACTGAATCTCGGAGGAAAGAAGAAATATAGGTAGTAATGACTCATAGGTGTCAGTAGGGTGACACAGTTTGCCCACATGAGTGACATAGGTTTCCAAATTTAGGACATTTAAAGAAACTGGGACAGTGTATTTGACATGTGTTGCTGGGCATGTCATACTAGAGTACAACATGGATCCACAGCCATATATTTGCTGGTATGCCTCCCTAGAATGTAATGTTAGCCCTCCCCCGTAAAAGGGGAGAAATAATGACTTCATAGAGAGGGAGAGAAGGGATAACAGAGAGTCAGTAATTTCTTACCGCGGGATTAAATGGTTTGCCAACAGTTGGAACAGCAGCGACACGCAAGCTCTTCATTATCTCCACGAATTGTTTGTATATTCCCTGGTAACTTGCATCAATTTTCTTTTCCGTCTCAGTTTCTAGTTTGATCTGTCGCTTAGCTCTCTCAAAGTTATCAACCATGGGCAAGAGGCTCTCAATTATTTCCCCTTGAGCATTTGTCCTGATTGTTAGTCTCTCTTTCTCAGATCTTTTCCTAAAATTATCAAAATCTGCTTGCAAGCGGATATATTTTTCCTTCCCAGAATCGATCTCTGCTGATAGAGCTGATACCTTTTGGGCCAAGTCATCTCTCTCCTTTTCCACCGAGGATATGGCTGCCTCAATTTCATATATAGCCTTTACATCTCCTATTAGGATGGCCTCCTTGTAAACTTGCATGAGGGATTTCAATCTAAATGAATAATTCTCATCTGCTTCATCTTTTGACACTTCCAATTCACTGAGGCTATCCTCGTCATCACTCGTCTACAACAAAATTATTTTGTCATCGTCAGTTTCACAACAGTAATATTCTGAAAAGTAAAATCCTTTGATGAAGGAATATTAGAATTGTTGAGTTAGATTAGGTAACCAAGGGGATATCAATCATATAAAAGAACATAATCAACAAACAAGAATATAGCTTTAATGAATGCAGCTCTTCAAAAAGATATCTAGGTAACCAATTTAAAACTCTAAATTTCAAAGTATAGTTTGTGAAAGTGAGAGATACATATCATATTTACAAGATAACTTATGTCAGAGTTGAAGTTTTTTCAAATATTCTTTTATACAAACACTTCAAAAGTGACAGGAAGTGCTCCTTTGTATGTCATTGGTTATATGAACAAATGAAAAACCCTGCTCATGAAGTGAACCCTGCTCATGAAGTGAACAACTAAAAAGGAGCTACTTGCGTACCACTTTTCTGTCAAAGTAGCATTGGTCCTCCTATATTATCTATCCCCTACTCAATAACCAGGCCGCCTTCTACAATTTCTAAGTCAGATCCCAAATCAATAATCAATAATCAATCATTACAGATGTAGTTCGCTCAGTAATGCCGTCAACTGAAACCCTCTCCCTTTATACAACTGGCAATTGTCATCAGTATTATCTCACAAAGCAACCAACATAACACAATTAAGCACATTTTTTAGGTCATGTGATAGGAATATTTGCATTATTTGCACCCCATACTAACGGAAATCAGCACCGTCTAGCATACACTGGAAGGAAAACACCAACCAACCTTTAGATCAACAGAAACCAACACTTGAAATAAATTGGAATCAAAGACTAGGTCAAGTCATCAATTGCCACTTGTGCTTACTACTGAAGGCAGATAACTTGGCTCTAGGACTAATCCACAAATAAAAAGAAAAAGGAAGATAACTTAATCCTATTATCAAAAGCATTTAAGGGATAACAACAAGTATGTTTTTATGGACAAAAAAGAAGAAGAAAGTCATAATCTTTCCCAGCCAATGCAACTATGCAAAAAAGGGAGGTGAGAAAAAGTTGCTAATTTCCTATACTTGACAAATTGATTCTCATTAGGACTACAAGCACTCAACAAAAGATGAGATAAATTTTCTATAGCAACCCAATTAAGATAACTAACTACTCATAAAAATAGAGAGGAAGAGAGTACTTGAGGAGCAGAGTCTTGGAACGAGAGAGAGGTTTTGAACAAGGAACGTCTGCTACGGTTGATAATTACTTTAGAGAGAGCAAATTTAGTGCTTTCAGAATGCTTGTTGAGGGGAAAATGGTGAATTAAGGTTCTTGGGGCTTTAGAAACCGTAGAAGAAGGGAAGCCAAGTGTGTAGAAAGTGTGAGAAAGAGGAGCCGAAGCTGCCATTTCAAATCAAGCGGGTATTACAGATAGATAGGGATTCAGGTTTCTTTCCTTAATAAAAACAAAAATCCAAAGGGGTTGGATCTTCTGTGTATGCTGTTTGGAAATTAGGGAAAGGAATTGAATCAGAGCAATATTTGAATTTTTTTAGTTGCAGTTAAAAATGAAAAGGTTTGTGGAAGTTTAATACTTCACTTGTAAAAAAATATAATTACAAAAACTGAACAGTTGTGAGTAAAAATTGGCTCTTCACTGAAAGTCAAAATACTGTTTCAAAGTTCAAACACTCTTTCACTATTTTAATACATATGAAGTTCATTATTTGCAAATATACATGACTAAACTAATATTCTTTGTAAATGCACATAGATGGCTTTTAAAATTTGTCGTAAAAAATAAATCATAAGTAATACTTTTGTGAATATAAATCAACTCATCAAAAATAGAATGAGAAATTTAAACTTAACTTATTTTTAAATATAAAACATACTTATTATTTATTGTGAAATGAATCTCAAATAATATGTGACAGATGCAATATTTGAAGTATATTGAAATAATATTTCATAGACTTAATTCATTTGCTTTTTTCCTGCAAGTAAAATTAATTTTATTATTTGGAGACAAAATAGTTTTTCTTTTTCTTTTAAAGGTTATAATAAGTTACTTGGGTGGAAGCTATCGTTCCGTGATAGATATTGGCTATTTAAAAAAAATTTCAAAACATAATTTATTCATAAAATATGATAAGTTCTTTAAAAGTTTGAGTCAAAAAACTAGTTTATGAAAGTTTTTGGACGAAATTTTTTTACTTTCCACTTACCGTACTTTAACTTTCCTTCAAATACATACTCAATCATAAATTTTAACTTTTAAAAATTATATTTTAATACATTTTAAAAACTTTAACTTTTTCTCAAATAAAATATATATAAACACTATTATAACTTCAAAAACTATTTTTTGAAGTACCGAATCTATGTCCAAACGCATGGAAGAATAAGGTCCTATAAATTAACGGAAAAACCAAATTCCTTTTACTAGCGGATTCAGCCGAATTTCAATCAAACGCCAAGTTCTTTCTTCTCCGGCAACTTCCTCGGCGATTTCATTCCGGCGACATCGAGTTGTTAGTTGTAGGTTACCTTCTATATCTTTCTTCCTTCCTCTCTAGATTTTTATACCGAGTACAAAGCAACAACAACAAAAAAAAGCCCTAATTCCTTTCCCTTATGTATAGTAGCAAACTAGCAATAGTGAATTAGTTAACGATATTTTGTGTTTGCTTCCCCCCTGCATAAAGAAAAAAAATTAATATGCATTACTATTTGCTATACAACAACAACTATGACTCAATCTCAAGCAAGTTAGCGTCCGCTTCATGAATCCTCACTGTCCATGTTGCAATTTGCATTATCTTAATTTATTTTCAATCTATGTCTGTCTACCTGCATTAGATATCTTGTATTTGTTGTGTAGACAAAAGCTAAGCTAGTTTCCTTAATATTTCAGGTTATTTGGCTTCGATAAAAGAAGCATTGATGAAGCCGCAGTCGGCATGGGGCTCACTAAAGAACCCGGTGAAGTTCAAGATGTAACACTCCTTATTCCTTATTGTACAAATATGTGATGGTATAAGACATGAATAATTCGTAGTGTTTAACAAAAAGTATATGCTTATTTACAGTCCAACCGCGGAGAATCTTGTTCCTATTCGTCTGGACATTGAAATTGATGGTCAAAGATTTAGAGATGCTTTTAGTTGGAATCCAAATGGTACGTTATTATTATTATTTTTGTAGTTTTAACCACCATATAAACATTGATACAGCTATATGCACTCAATTTGATGCTTCTGTTTCAGAATGTAGGTTGGAACTGGCTGTTTTCTTGTATGCATAGTTGATGTTTTTAATTAGTAGTTGCTGCCAATAAATGTTGAAATCTTTTATTCTAAATGCTGAACGCTACCACAGCTCATCTGTACGGTCAAAATGAAAATTTTAGTTTCTCACTACAATGATCAAGAATCATTAGTGAGCAAATTTGTGAAAATGTTGAGTGGACATGCACATTCCAGGTAAGGGATACATAATTAACTAAATTTTCATTTGTTTTTGTATCTGGGAGGCACTACAACATTGAATGTGCATCTAAGCTGCTAAACATAAGTTTTTATGAAGGCATTCTCTGGAAGATAACTGGCAAACAATGGAATTTCGGTACATGATTTTTTATTTTTTATTTTAGACGTTACCAAACCATTTTCCTTTAATTTTGTGGGGTTGACTTTATAGTGCTCTGAAGATCTGTAAGGAAAAGTTAGCACACGAAGATCCTTATAAGGGATTCTCTGTTGTGATAAAGATTGGATCTTATTAGGTTGCCTGATCCTTCAACATGGCTTTATGAAGTAAAGGAACTTTGCAGGGTGCTATTATGAAAAGCAGAGTATAACATTATAGAGCTTATGTCCTGGCAAAAGATAGCTTGAAAACGACTGTACACTCTGATTTTTGATAGTTCTGGTACTTATTTGCTTTTTCCTATGTGATGCTTCATATACAAAGCCATTTGTATTGTCTCGAGTGAATGGTTCTGCTGATCACCTTTAAAGAAAGAAAATTTATAGTTGAGTTTTCCTAATATCTAATATCATTATGAACTGACCTAGTTATTGTCCCTCTCTGAACTTATTAACTGCAGATCCTGACTCAGAAGTGGTGGTTTTCGCGAAAAGAACTGTGAAGGATTTGAAGCTTCCTCCTGGGTTTATCACTCAGATTGCTCAATCCATTCAAGTAATTTATAAGTCATAAACCAGTACATGTTTTGTGCATCATTTCATCATCTTTCTTCATGCTTAATGGTATAAATAGTATTCATGGTGTGATGTTAAGAATTGCTCGAAAGAACAGGATGTATGACTCTAATTGCTGCTTGCATACTTGGGACCAGTTTACATAGGATTCATGGTGGGAGATTGGGGTTTAATTTTAAACATGCCTCTGACTATCTCTTCTAAAAGCTTAAGTTGTTGGAAAGAGCACACTTTATTTACTTAATTATTATTTTAACACCCCCCCCCCACGTGTAGGCTTGATTTTTTTTTTTATGAGCCAAGTGCGTGAAAATTCTTTAGATAATGGGGTGGCGGTGAGACTCAACCCAGTCAATGTTGTTAAAGGCGCGCTTAAGCCCTGAAGCGAGGCTCAAAACATATTGAGCGCTTCGCCTCGCTTTGTGGGCGTTTCAGTGTTGCATCAAGGCTCTAAGACATACTTTTCCTTGCCAATGAGTGTAATCCTGAAAAGACGACACTAAATAATTGGTATTTCACTTTATAGTAAAACATTTTCAATTTCTTTGTCCATATATATGTTATTCATGCTTATAATTATTGGTCTTAGACTACATATACATATTTTTACTCTTTCTCTAGTTGCGCCTTTTTTCTTTAAAGCCCACGCTTTATTTGCGCTTTGCGCTTAAAGCCTCAACGGACCTTGGAGCTTTTTTGCGCTTTTCGCCTTTGATAATACTGATTACCCATGACCTCTGCATGCTCAAAGGCCATGTTGAATGTGTCTGACCAACTCATTTAAAAGCTTAAACCGTTAGAAAAAGCACACTTTTACAACAACAACAACAACAACCCAGTATAATCCCACTAGTGGGGTCTGGGGAGGGTAGTGTGTACGCAGACCTTACCCCTACCCTGGGGTAGAGAGGCTGTTTCCGATAGACCCTTGGCTCCCTCCCTCCAAGAACTCCCCACCTTGCTCTTGGGGTGACTCGAACTCACAACCTCTTGGTTGGAAGTGGAGGGTGCTTACCACTAGAACAACCCACTTAATTATTATCTTAACACTAGCTATAGGATGAAGAAATATGAAATAGAAGATAACTATATCTCAAACAATGAACTATGCCGTAGTTCCCAAATTAGTTGGGTTGGATATATGATTTTTTGTATCATATCTGCTATCTTCAGGTCAAATGTCATTCCAATACTGAATAATAAGTCTTCTACGCACACCAGAGGTTCTCTAGAAATAGAACTTCTTGAAATCTCACACGTATCCCGTACAAGTTTTAGTAGGAAAAGAAAGGAGTGGAATGAATTTCTATTTTTCTACTTATTTACTGGGTTGCTCTAGTGGTAAGCACCCTCCACTTCCAACCAAGAGGTTGTGAGTTCGAGTCACCCCAAGAGCAAGGTGGGTAGTTCTTGGAGGGAGGGAGCCGAGGGTCTATCGGAAACAGCCTCTCTACCCCAGGGTAGGGGTAAGGTCTGCGTACACCTACCCTCCCCAGACCCCACTAGTGGGATTATACTGGGTTGTTGTTGTTGTACTTATTTGCTGGAGCGCTGCAAGTTTTGATAGACACTGAAGCTTATATAAGTCTAGAGCAACAACTAATTCTTAATTCCGCCTTGTTGGTATCGTCGATACCATTGTGTTCAGTCCTTAGCTAAGTCCACATTGATTACTGAGATTTTACACCTTTCGAGATAATTTCCTCCATGTGAAAGTCTATCTCGTCATCAACCCTTTCAATCTTCGTATTATTGCACCTATGTACTAGTACAATTGAGGTCTACGCTGAATATGCCTAAACCAGCCCGACAAGATCTCCTAATAAATCGAAGGAGATTTGTTGAGGAATTAAAAGTCAAAATTCCGACATAGTTTTTGATGAGATTACCCCCAAAAAGGGGAGTGGCCACTTTTGTAGCTATTGTCAAATATTGTTAGACGTCATATTAGGTTTTATTATGTAGTATTTTGTTTGGCGGTGGTTTGTTTTGTTTTTCTGGGCTTGGACAAACAATATCGAAGTACTTCGTGAGAAAATGTAGGATCTCTCCCTATTTCTTTTGGTCAATGTTGTGTATATTGAAGGAAAGGTTACAAGTTTCAATTCTTGAACCATAATCATGCAATCCATTCTTCACTTTGTCAGCATACTTTTTTGATGCTGTGCTGGTCATTGTCTACCCAAGTTTGATTAATTTGAGAAATTTACCCCAAAAGAAAAAAAATACTAAATGATTAAATGTTTTGGTTTCTTGTTTTAGTATTGCCCATGTAATGCGTGACTTTGCTAAGGCATTTGAACTAATTCTGATGAAAAATGTATAGCTAATTGGTTGACTAACTAACAACTGATCTGTGTAGTAAAAGGACACTAGGCTGTTCATAAGATGTTAAAATTAGTTGTTAAAGTATCACAAAACAGTATAATTTGGAGAAACCTCATCCGGATATCTTCCGTTTGATGTGGGAACTTTTATCTAAACCAGCCTGTGTTAAGCATGTAGGTCCTTTGGCTATAAATATTATTCAACAATATATTCCTTCTTTTTTTATAAGGCATTCAACAATATATTCCTTTATGTACTTATCCAAAAAAATAACCCTTTATGTCTGCTAGTCCTTTTCCTGAACAAAAACTTGGTAGTTCTCTAGTGACTGAGGACCTCTGTTGCGAAATGGCTGCTTAGTGTACATCTTTTTCTGTTGTTTCTGGCAAATTATTTCTTATTGGCTTCTCATGCTACTTCCAATTTTGCAGTCACAATTAACAGAATTTCGGTCATATGAAGGACAAGATATGTACACTGGCGAGAGAGTTGTTCCCATCAAGGTTTAGCACAATTGTTTATGTCGATATTGATAACATTATGAGGAAAGATTGGGTTGCTCTAGTGGTGAGCACCCTCCACTTCCAACCAAGAGGTTGTGAGTTCGAGTCACCCCAAGAGCAAGGTGGGGTGTTCTTGGAGGGAGGGAGCCGAGGGTCTATCGGAAACAGCCTCTCTACCCCATGGTAGAGGTAAGGTCTGCGTACAAACTACCCTCCCCAGACCCCACTAGTGGGATTATATTGGGTTGTTGTTGTTGTGTTGTTGTTGTATGGTGAAAGATTATTTATTCCAAAAGAAATGAAAGATACCTATCTTTCTGACTTTGATGGTCACAACTGTTGTGGTATCATTAATGAGGTACTTGTATTTATCTCTTTCCTTTTCTTTTCCGGGCTTATTCAGCTTGATCTCCGAGTAAATCATACAGTTATCAAGGACCATTTTTTCTGGGTAAGTTTAACTAAAAGGTTATGTCTCATTCTTGAAATATCTTGATATCTGTATAAGAACTGTGATCAAACTTGCAATTACTCTGCTTCATATGTTGCTAATACAAAGAGAAATCAAAATAATTTCAGGACTTGAACAATTTCGAGAGTGATCCTGAAGAATTTGCACGGACTTTTTGTAAAGATATGGAAATTGAAGACCCAGAAGTTGGAGTAAGCTCTATTTTTTTTTTGCTTTCCTTTGGTTGTTATAAAATAATTTTTCCCCATTTTTCATTGGATATTCTTGTAAGTTTGATGGTCATCATCATGTGATATAGTTTTGTGTGATGGGGGTTGATGAAGTTAAAGGGTTTGGG